GGTACCACGAGGAGCGATTGTCTGAGCGTTCACTGCCCAGCAGCAGGTCCGGGCTAGGCTAGGCTTTATAAGATCGTTGTAGGATGCTCCAATTGCCCACAAACATCTCATGGAGCTGTCGAGCTGAATGAATGAGCATTGCAGTAGTGCTGTTCCACCGGCGAATCTCGCCGAGATTTTCAATTTCCCAGGATGTGCTAACTCGTACCATCCAACCAACGTAAAGAAAAGAGAACTCCATAACTCAGCAGGGATCAAAAAGGTACAAATCGGTCTGCGAGGTGCATTTCTAGACGCGTTATGTCAGTATGCTGTAACCATCCAGAACATAAATCTTATCAGTGTTGGGTTAATGTCATTCTTTCTTTCAGCTGCTGTTAGAAGCTTGCAAAAATGTTCGACTGCCTACCGATTTTCTCGACTTCTAACCTTTGCTCCTTCACAGTTACAGTTTCATTTGCGTTTTTGTACTCCTTTTTGTTCATTTGAAGCTTCCGGGTCGCAAAATTCTGTAGGTATTTCCACTTCCAGTATCGTCTTCGTAATTCGCCTCTTGCAAATTGTTCTAGGGCGAGGTACGCCTGTGGTGTTGCAGGCCCGCGATTAGGCAATGCTAATCTTTCTGATCTCACCGATAAGATCTTAAGACAAATAAGATCAGTATCGTATCGTAAAAAGCCCCAATTAACTAATTTGCCTACCTGAGGGCAAAAAAGGGATAGAGATAATACTTCCAATCGGTCAGCTACAGCATAAGCAACTCAATTTTGTATAGAAGAAAGCAAAGCTCTGTTATGAATTCTACTTATTTACCTGCGAGCAGCTTTCAAAAGTTGAGAATGCCGTCATAAAGCAACAAAGCTTCATGTGAACCCTTTTTCTTCTTATTTTCTCGCACTATGAGTTATGCAATTTTTAAGTAGGTATAGGGCCTACAATCATGTTGGAGTCAGGGTCTGCCGTCCTTTTGCACTATTCGAAAGAGGAAGTTGCATTTGTGAGTTTTGGAAATGTGGTCGTATCAAGGGTTCAGTAAAATTAGCCATGCCAGAAAAGTGTGGGTCGTATTTGTGGAAGTTTGGTCGGGGGTCCGGTTTTCAGAAAAGAGAGCAGTTTTCGACGATGCTCAGTTACTAGAAACAGCCATAGGAGGGGCCGCGGGGGAGCCTGCTAGCTGATTTGTGGTAGTGGGGGTCGTACGGAGGCCTCTGAAAGGGGGGATGGTCTTAAAATTTCGGAAAAGTGCCAACGCAACGGTTGGCTTTGATTGGAGTCCGCGCCCACTCGCCTACCGTCAAACACATTTTATAAGTATTTATTTACAACAGCGCAGCATTGCATCAAACCAAGCCGCACATGGATAAGAGAAAGTTAGGCAGTTTGTAAGGAACTTTTCAAATCGAAGAGACTGGTGGGGTTCAATTCTTCCCATGTGAGGCCTTCGCAACCAATTTCCTGTTCGTAATCTTACCGTATCAGCTCCTCAGGCCCTTCTCGCCTTTCACTCGATGCTTCGTGATTTAGTCATATTTTGATGAAATTACTCTCAACTGGAGCTGACCCCAACCTGAAACTTTTACCTTTCTGAGAAAATTCGCTTAGTGTCAATTTCCATAACTTCAGTATCGCTGGAACGAGTAAGTGAATTGAATTTAATTCTCAAAATAGTTTTGTGACCAAAAATTTCACCTCATTATCATGAGTTCTTTGTTGCGTTATTGAAATGAACTCTCCAAAGGCTGTTACATTAGACGACGTTCCGCTCCTTTTGGAAGAGTCCGTCCTTTTGGAAGAGTCTCATTTCAATCTTTTTTCTTTATATTCTTCATTTCTTTTCCTGCGTTTTATTGTTTCATTTCTTACGGCCCGAAACGTCGTCAAATAAAGCCTTTTGGAAGAGTTTCATTTCAATCAACAAACAAAGAAGTCTCGTGAAACAATGAAGCTCAGGAACCCTATCATGAGTTGTTTAGAAGCTTGTATGCGGTTCATTATGTAGCCAAGTACTACTTTTGAATTATTCAGTATCAAATGTTCGATAGGGGGAAGTGGTTCGAAGTTCAATAAAGGTATGTCAGCAATTTTTGAATTGGAAGAATCTTTTCAAGCATCCATAGATATGAGGGAAACCAATCGTGGACTTTTTTTTTTACTCTGATCCACTTTGATAAGCGATAGGCATACAGCAGATAACAGTTGATTGGCAGACTGACAACAATGTAGTAACTTTTTTTGCAGCTACTTAATGTTGTTTCTCGTGCGCCATCAAGAAACGAGCCAGCAATGACTCGTGGTTACCACAAGCTCAGCAGGAATAAAAAAAACAGCATATTATTCGAGTGTTATCTTACGAATAAGCGTTCCCCCAATGTGGGGTTCGGTGGGTAGTGTCCATATATTGAACTTGATTCGCTAATGACATCAAGGGAGGGAGTCACTCATCTGAGTGAGCCGCACATAGTACTTAGGACTAAGCCTTACGGAGGCAGAATTTCGGGGGGGGGGGGGGGAGAGGGGAGGAGGATGAAAATTTGCTGCATTCCATATACACGTCGTTTCTCCCTCATCCTTCAGCTTGAGCGGCGAACGACCCCGCATAAATCACGTTTATGGTAGGGTTTCTTTTCGTTAATCAATTTGGCCTTTCAAGGTCACCTACTAGCTTTTTTGTGCCTGGTTTATTGAATGTCCCACGTTCTTCCAGGCCCATGAGCGTGGTTCAGAAGGTAATGTCCATATAGGAAACTCAGGTGGCAACGAAGAAAGTCAGCATTATAAATGTTTACCATTCGTTAGTCAAAGAGCAAAAGGCTAGTAAAACAAAAAGAAGGCATTTGTAAAGGAACTTCTATTATCTAGGCTTTCTGGGCGGTTTTGGGTCAGAGCAAAAAAATGTTTACGGAGCAACCGCAGGAACAATTTCCATTCTAACCATTAGTGCGTGTGAGCACCTAATTCTTCATCCTTCTTAGTGGGCACACAGTACTGTTCCTTTGCATGACCTCGGCTGTAAATGGTTCCCCCTCTGGGCGCTATCATGCGCAAGTGTGCCCTGCTATGACAGAGCTCTTCAGATCTGATTGCGGCATCTTACCCGAAGCGTTCCACGGATGGCGCCAGACCTCAGACGCGACAGCGCGGTCTCCTTTCCGTTCTCTTATCTATGTAAGCTAGCCGCAGTCGAAAATTACGTAATTGGCGTATACTGACAGGCGGATATCATCGCTGAGACCGCAGGTACAACACCTACAGTCCCGTCTGGGTCAGCTCCGCCCATTCATTATTATTCATATAGATGACAATGGCAATCCCAGCACTTATATTATCATAGCCCTCAGACACTACTTGTCTCTATACTGCTCTACACTCACTCACATTACCATAGTAATAGCATGGTAGTAAGCAGTCTGTTGCATCACTTATTCACCCAGTACCTGGTGAATTAGAAATTGTTAATCAGCTTCGGCACTGTAGCGACCCATACGATTACACACTCATGAACTTACGCTTGGTGAGATCTTTCTGCTACCATCTAGAATTGTTTCATTCGATTCTTTGGGTCCATCTTTCTTATCGTTAGCAATGGGTCCACTTTCCGTCCGCATTTGCAGGGTAGCCCATCTTTCACTTGCCAGAAGCCTCGGGTTTTTCAACAACCTGAAAGGTGTTTCCAGAAGATAGCTCTTCTGGTACAAAACACCCGTCTTCTTTCACATCGTAGATGGTCTTGTGTTCTTCTAGTAACATTGTATCCTTGATGGATTTGTGCGGTGAAATATAGTCTCCTGAGCAGAGAACTGCAAATAAGGTCTAGGAAAATTATGCTTTGCTTGTATAACCAGCAAAATTAATTATATTTTTAGGTCTCGGGGTAGGGTAACCATTTGCCCGACCATTTACGGCTGATTCGCTAATGGTCCCAATCATGGTCAGTAACTTTCTAGACATTTTGACCGTTTTTTTGTTGTCGCAGTGATAAGATAGAACATAACTGGAGCTGAATAACAATTCAAGAAATTTCGGAAAAGGATCATAAGGGGCTCTGAAACATGAAAAGGTCCTATTTTTGCGCGACTAGTTCCATGGTAGTCCACTTTCCTGGTTTTTCACTTCTGTAACAAAAAATATCTCAGTTGCAATTAGTTCAGGAAGTCGAATTTTTATTGAATATTATATTGAATGTTTTGTAACTAAATATGACCGGATACAACTAGCACTCACAAGAATGTGAGAGGCTTTTTTGAAACGGAGTTTGCATGTTGTAGGGGCTCCCACGTGAGCTGCAAAACTGTGGTTCACTTCCGGTGATCGCCTCGCAGGTACAAGGAAGCAATTAAAATGTTGTCACAGGGGGATTACTATCAGATAAACAATATCTATTGCAAGGGTTACTGATGGTCTTGGTAATAAATATAACACTCGTTTGGCGCAGGCCCTACTTGGACCAAATCTAAGAGATCTAATGCAAAAAAATTAGTCGTCACGGGGCATTGAACGTTGGACCATTTCCTCACCACTTTTTGACCTTCACAGGGTCGCTCAGCGAAAATGGACCTTGGCTTTGTAGTTCAATCGTGAGTTCCTGCCGCTCATCATTTTCAAAAATCGCTCTACACCCTGGAAGAACTCCCTTGCCAGTGGAGATTTTCTTCTTAACCGCAAGCGAATTTTTTCAAACTGACGTCATCATCTCAGTGATTCCTATTTTTTTCAATCTTCCCACCCGCTTCCTCTCAATCGGCTTTGTTCTTTGCACATTTCTGACTACCACTTCCATGTTCCATTATCTCGTGGAGCACCAAAGATCAGAATCTCTCTATTTCTCCATTCTTCTGAAGGCTTGCGGGCTGTACGCACCATAGACTTACCTTGGCTGCACTGGAGTGTTCATGTTTATTCTTAATTTTTATGGTCCTTAGAGCCGTTCGATCTTTATTACATAACCGCAGTAACTCACCAGTTTTTGCCTGCCCAACCTTAATGGTTAATTTTCAGCGAAAATGTTAAATTACATATTCGACTGTGAAATGGAGCCGGAATCAAATTGCAAATCGAGTCATCAATGGCAGGAAGCCGAACAACCTGTTGATAGTTTACTTCAAGGGCTTCAGTCAGTATTGAGAAAGGTTTGTGTGTACTAACCGTTCACGTTCGGAAATACACATTGCCTAGTTAATTGACCGTTCATTTAAACAGTAATTAATCTTCGTTTTTTGTTAGGTTTATATTGCCGAAGCTATTCTCTTTAAACGATTGGAGTGCACTTCGACAGCGAAAGAAGCCGAACACTTGCAGTCAGGATTGATGAGACTTAATGAAGTTGAGCGAAGCCTACAACTGAGAATTTTGCATCATGTGGGTGGTCTTCGTGACTTTTTTCTGTTGGAAAGAGAAACAGTTTTTGGCTTTGTAAAATAGACCATGGTGAAAGTGACAGTACGTATTTTCTTGCTTCATTTTACCTTAAGGGGGGTGAAAGTCAAAGAGGTGGTCATAATGAAGCTGGAAAAGTGAGAAGGCGAGGGAATCCTTCACGGTGACGATAACATAGCGTCCAACGATGGCTTTGACCAATTTTAAATCTAGAAGTAGACCATCTTCCTTTCATCTTAGCTGTGCCACCTCTCCCCCTTGTGAGTCATTCCCTTCTCACCTCCCCTCTAAACTATTAGAAGTATCAAATGCAGTGCTGAATTTCCTAATCCCTTTGCCCAAACCTCGTTTCCAACATTTCAAGCTCGTGCTCATCCTTGCGTTCAGTGTAACCCACAGTAAGATTTTTGGGTCGGAGTGGGACTTCTACCATCAGTAGGTGTAACAGCTCCTTTGAGGGAAACAACACTGTGCAGCGAGGAAGCTTTGAGCCTTCTTTCCACAGATGTACCTGAATTACTGACTAATGTTTGTGCTCTGCCCGTCATCAATATGACACTGCTCCACCATCTCTTTCTCACCTAGGGCATTTCAGCGCCTAAGTGCAATTCGATTTCCTCACTCCGCCTTCTTCTAGTACTTCAGTTTCTAGTCCTCCTATAGGTGAGCTATCATGAAACCTACGGAGAGCTCGTAATAGTAGTGCAGCTTTGAGTTGGAATGTTTTGAGATGGAGCGGAAGTGCCTTTCTTTTGATCTTTTTGACCCTATAGACTGATTGATCCCTCATCTTCGCTAGAACAGCTGGCCGGAAGCCCAAGTGTCTAGAAGGTGAAGCTGTCGCAGGCAGCAACTGCTACATTCCACTTAATCACCTGAACATAAAACATAAATGCTCGCGTGTTTTAAAGCGAAGCGAATACATAGTAGTCAAAGGGGGAGGCAGTGGAGGATCGTCTCTCGCCTTTAGCTCGTCACGAAGCAGATATGTGGCAAGGAGATTTGCGATGTGGGAGTGATCTGTTCATGGAAGGAGACTGTGAAGCCACGGGTCGGGATGTCAGCACTTCCTTGTAAAAAGAGGGGTCAGAAGCGCAAGAGTGTAACATCGCCCCAACTAATAAAGTGCGCGGCAAAGACGCTAAGGTGAGGATTGTATGCTGCTGTGATGCCATTCTTACCAATCGCGGCCTACGTGGCGTCTGCGCCCTCTCGCGTACAACATGCTCTCTCGAGTTTTCCCTCTCCTGCCTCTACGTCATACTACTATCGAGCTTACAAGGAGCTTTCAGGATTTTTTTATGGTGCCTTTTGTTTCTTCTGTCCACTCATGTTCCCAGTCGGTTATTTTTGTCTAATTTTTGAACAAAACACCACACCAATTCGATTATTGGAAAACTAAACGAAGCGTTGTTGCAGAAATTTTTTTGAGTACAGGAACAAATGAGCATGAAATTGTGTGTAATGTAAAAGCGGCATTAATTGGCCGCAATAGACACTGAGAATTCGGAGACAATAAATGGTAATTGATGACATAATGAGTCTCGTTTTCAGATTCGCCCGATATCGCCATGTAACTCCGAAGAAGAGTAACCCGCCTTAATCGACTGCTATCTAAATCTAATCTAATATATTGTTTATTTACTATTGGCTATTCATTTAATTACATATTGTGCATTCGTCTAGAACTAATAAATATTATATGCCTTACCTTTATAGCAGATTTGGTTTATTATGTCATTTAATACTTGAGAGGGTGGGGTAGTCGAATGTGACGTCATCCTTATCCATACATCCTTACCATACATATCATCCTTCCGAAGTCGGAAACGGTGGCGCGGAAACTCATCCCGGGGATGAAAGTTGCTCATCGGTTGGCTTTGCAGGTCATTGTATAGGATAAATTCGAATGGCATTTAAATTCCACTACGATTCTGAAAGAAGACCATAACTGGTGCATCCATAAGAGTGGTCGATCAACAATGAATGATATTGTTTTTTATTTTATTTTTTTCTTTATTCTTTCATATTCTCTTTTTCTTTTTTTTCTTTTTTTTCCTCATATTTTTATTCTATTGTTTATGTCTCGCAGAAATGAAGTCTGTGGAGCCATTTGGTTACGTGCCATCTAGAAGCGACAAATAACACAGCTCACATCACACAGCTTAAATATTATTATACCACTATCGCTCACGGGACATTTTCTGAGGAGAATAAGATCAGTGCACGAGCAACAGTGATACAGTATCCATAGGGGTTAGTTTCCTTATGATAACTAACTCTGGTCTCCCAATCTTAAATGTCTGTTGAATAGTGCCAAACTTCAATGGAAGATAGGAATGCCGACTTGGAAAGAGGCTCACTCATGCCTATTAATTTACATGGGTGCCGTGCACTCATTTGGGAAACTGTCTGACAGGGGAGATCTTTCAGGATACGGAGCCCTTTTTCGAAACGGTTTTTTCACATGGTGTAAGGATTCAGGTAGGCTGCAAATTCATCGCTGAGCAAGCTCCCTGATTTGAAAAGTATTTCAAAATACCTTTTCTCCATAAATTCTCTTACAAGGAAGGTCTTTCAGGGTGTGCCAAGCTTTTTCAAAACGGTCTTTTGCATGATATAGAGGCACATGCGGGAACCACAGAACCATGGTTAATTTTTCCTGAACGGCCCTCTGAATACCAGAAAAGGGGGTCCCTAGTCACACCTTTTTCACCAGTTTTTCAATCAAAGTCTATTTGTAAGGGTTACTGACGTTTCCTAATCATGAATTTGGTACTAATTATTCATGCTAACTCCATTTTGCGCGAATTTGGAAACGTCAACACGAAATGCAAAAATTTGTCACCACGAGGAATCGAACTAGGGACCCTTTTCTGGTATTCAGAGAGCCGTTCAGGAAAAATGAACCATGCTTCTGTGGTCCCCATATGTGCCCCAATGTCATGCAAGAAAAAAGCTTGGAACACCCTGAACGACTTCCCTTGTTAGAGCGGGTGGTTTTTATCGGACTTTGGTAAAAATGTAACTGTAAGCTTACTGATTGTCATGGTAATGAATATGAGATCTACTTGGCGCTGAAGCTAGACTGGGCAAATCTGGGTTTTAAAATGCAAAGTTGCTCTGGGAGTTGCTCAACCAACTGGGAATTAAATGTGAACGATTTCTCTACCAGTTTCTGGCCTTCACGGGCCACTCAGCGAAAAAAGAACTTGGTTTTGTGGTACACTCATGAGTTCCTGTAACATGCAGACAATCGTTTTGGAAAATGTTCCACACCCTGACAAGACCTCCCTTGTGAGAGTGTAATGAACAAACCTTTCTGAAGGAGCCGCCCAAAATCTAGGAAGCGCTGTCATATCTCAGAAGTTTGAATGGAGTCCTGGGCTAACGTACACACTCAAGAATGCTGGCTGCAGTTATGGAACCTGCAATTGCTACGTGAGCTTCCTAGCCAAGTTGTGAGCAGTCAAAGTTGACAGGAACCGCAGCGTCAGTTTCATCTATCCGCAGCAACATGTTTTATTTTCTCTGAAAAATCTGCATTTACCCTCCCTTTCAGAAAACGTGATGAGCGTCGGGTGCAGACCATACACCACAATGACGACAGCTTCCACAGAATGTTAATCTTTTGGGTGTTCCCAACAGTGCCACCGCGCGGCGAAGCATAGGGACGTACTGTAGCGGTTAGGCGTCAGGTTAAAGAGAGTGTACCATACTACGTCTCATATCGCACAGCACGCGCTGCAACTCGTCTCTTTGCCGCATCTGCGTCTCTTGCTTCGCCGCGCGGTGGGCCTCTTGGGGGACACCCTTATCTTTCTGCCTAATGAAATGATTAGCCTGCTGCAGTTGTATTCTATCAGTTGTCAACAGCTTTCCCAAAAATTAGTTATCACTATTAATCACTTAGTATACCCACGATTTACTTGGAGGTCACTAGTATTCACCGAATTTTACTTGGAGCCGTCGTCACTTGTGGTGTGTTGGTCTGACACCCGACGCTCTTTCTCGTTTTGAAAGTGAGTGCAGGTTATATAGACTGCGAAGTGACATCATTTAGGCAGAGGTCCTTTCGGCGCCAATTTGGTGCTATAGCATTACTTAATTGCTGATTTCTTGTCATCCTCGACCACTTACAACTTGCCGCAAAATCATGTAGCACTTTTGGTCTTCATATTTGTCTCTACTACTCCTAATCCTATCGATTCAATTAGGCTCCATCAAAGCTCCATAGGAAATTGAAAGCTTTGTTCAGTGTCGATTGAGACCAAATGGAAAGTGGTGGAAATTCTCTGAGAAACGAGGCTCTGACTGAAACAGGGAGCTGAAGTTTTCACTGGTAAGGCGGCCTCGTCTGATCGGTCACTTGCTCGTCATCCGTGGACGTCTCGTCTCCCAGGTGTCTCTTTCTCGTGCCGTTGCTTTCACACGCTATCGGCAAGTGGCGCGTGAACCAACCGTCAAACGACAAGTGAGCAAGGATCAATCAGCAACACCGACAATCTCTCATCCGCCAATACATCAAATAAACCATCGAGTGCAATTACGATTCCGTCGAGGATGGCCTGGGAGTCGACTCGTACCGATATACTTATAAGTGGTGCATAACATCGGTTGGGTGCACCTGACATGCTTCTTCGTTTCAGTTAATATTAATATTAGGTTGGAAAGAAAGTTCTGCAACACTTTTAAAAATTTCTTTTTTTTCTGAAAAATTCATAGGTAACATTTATGACTAACAAATGGTAGAGCATTCTCGAGGCTTCAATCCACGAGGTGGATATAAGTGCTGCAGTCAGTAGTTATCCAAGAAAATTCAAAAAATCTCGACCACTAGCAAATCCGTACTCCGAGTCACTGTCTAGTACAAATGTCTACAAAACCATGGATTCGTGTCAACGACTGACACTATCTGCAATAGCTTCTAATGGCATGCCGTTCAGCGATACAGCGTGTTTCACCTTTACCAGCGCTTCCGATCTTTTGATATTTTTATAGAAAGCCAGCAACATCCCATACACTCCATTGCCGGTAGGGCTCTTACGGAATTCAACTCGAAATTCTTCGTTTATGGGCACCATTGTGTAGGTAGAGGTCCTAGGCGCTGCACAACTCCAAGAAGCTGGCCGAGGCAGCTCGTCAAGAGCCCTCGTACCGCGACAGTATTCATTGGCTTCATGACATTGCGAATCACCATGATTCGAAATAGCCCGGTAAGAAATTCTGGAGGTGCGGCAAAATTTCTTACCTCTCTGAGCGTATTCCCCTGGTCGAGCTACAAATGAATTGCCGCCTACCCTGGACCTTAAATCATCATCTTGACGACGAAATAATTAGACGATCAACTCCAACTCGAAAGTGAGGTCGCCTCCTTTCTCGACCCGCACTCCGCTGGGTTTTGGCAAAGGAGCATCAAGAAATTTTCTGAGCGTTGGAGACAAGTGGTGGACACTCATGGTAGATATAAGACCGGTCAGGAGTTGTAAACAAAAAAGATAAAATTAAAATCAAAAATTTGAAAAAGTGTCGCAGGACTTTCTTTAACTTCGTATAATGTAGAGGGAGCGGGGGGATGGGGGGAGGAGAACAGTATACAGAGTTGGAGCATGCAGACGGCCCGTTTCATACATATAATAGATATCGAGAGAACAGATAACAGAGTTGGAGATGCAGACCAGGTTGAAAAAGGGTTCAATTATAATTTTTTGTATTTTTGTTGGGAGCAACGTTTTATGTGCGTTCATAACATGTGACATGGCGTAGTGTGTTCCCAGAGCTGCCACCAACAGAGTAAATAAGCGAGTCTAATAAGCGTTAACAATGTAAATATGAAGAGATTTCTATCACGATCACGCACTACTCCAAGCAATGGTCTACCACAAATATTTCCATATCCATTACTTCAAGGCACAGCCTAGGCAGAATTCGTGTAATCGATTCCCTTCGGTCTAGATAGAGCCCTAGAGGACAATCACAGATGTGGCACGTGCATGGAAATCACCCGACAAGGGCGCTAGGGCCTTGCAAAGTAAGCTGCAGCAGCTGCAAGTTTTTACCCTGTTGTCTGGCGCCCTCTCATCTGTTGCATTCTCTCGCCTCATACTCTCCTCTCCGCGCGCTCTCTCTCATCTCCACAAAAGTGGACAAACCTTAACCTGATTTTAAGCATTTTGGGGGTTCCTCCTTTTATATTATTGCCGGTCCATCTCGCGCCAATACGCTTCCTAGAAAAAAAGTTCATCAGTTCATCTTGAAGCATGCCTCAAACGCGGGCGACTAAAAATATTTGCAATACGTTCGAGGGTATCGTCATCCAGTTTTCCACCTGCACCAACTCTAAAATTTGGCAGCAACCCTTTCAAGTTGCCCCACTTGAGAATTTCTTAGGCTCCTCTGAATGGTAGGAGGGCTTCCTACAAATCCCTCGATATGGGTACAATAGTGGCAGCCCTGATCCATACATACTGCGATGCAAATCGTACGTAACGACGCAATTCCTCAGGAAGGGGCATACCGTGACATTGATTATCTTTGATGACAAATCATGTCCCCATGTCGCGAACGAACTCGCAAGAGAATTCTGAAGCTGT